CCCTTACGTCGATAATTCTTCTTCCTCTAATAGGACCTCTATCGATTAAAAGTAGGTTAAAGGCCGGTCTAGTAGTTATCCTCGCGGTCGTTAAGGTAGTAGGTGTTTATACGGGGGAGTAGGAGGAGGGAGGAGAATATAGGTAGATAGTAAAGGGGTAGTATAGTAGTAGGAGTAGTAGGTGTTAATATTAGTATTTAGGTGTTAATAAAAGTCGCTAAAAGAGTAGTAGGTATTTATCCTACTACTTTTTTAAAGATCTAAATTACTTATATAAAGAGTTAGAAGGCTGCCTACGTACCTGCCTTATTACGCTTTTACTTTTATTATGCCTTACTCTTTAGTACCTCTCCTTTATATATATTTAGATAAGAGTCGCTTAAAGAGTAGTAGGTATTTATCCTACTATAAAAGTAGCTAGTATAATAGTCCGCGAGTAGAGTAGATAATAGAATATATAATTTAATAAAAAGAGTAGAAACTTTCCTATTTAGGAAGGAACTATAATATTACTATAATATTATACTAAGCTCCTATTACGAACTCGTAATAGCTAAAATCGAGATTATATAGAAGAAAGAAGAGCACTAATTCTTTATATCTTATCCCTTCCGACCCTAAGACTTACTCCGAGACCTACGAGACTACTTATCCTTTCCTAAACGTAGATCCTTTAACTAATTATCCGTAGCTATACTCGTAATTATTCCGCGCTTAGGTCGCCGGTATATATTCTCTAGTCTGCTATTATATACCTTTAGCCTCTTCTAATAGGCTCTCTTACTAGCTATCCTATTACTATACTAGTAGGTACTCTTAGTTCCCCGCTAGATATAGTTGCTATAAGCTAAGTTTAAATATCTACGCTAGATTATATAGCGCTATTCTCGTTAGCGTCGGATACCTTTATACGGGTAGGAAATATACTAGAAATAGCTCTAGGCCTTTAATTATATTACTATCGTAGTCCTTCCGCTCCTTATAATCTCTATAATACTCCTCTTTAGTTAATATTATTCTACTACGATATTATTAGCTATTATACTTTAATAATTCTCTAATAGGATTATATAGACCGGCTCGTAACTAGAAAGGCGTCGACGTAGTTCGGACGGTCTCGGATATTATCGATCCTATTAGTAAAGCTATTATAGATCTCGCACGACGCTCTTCCGATCTCCTCTTTAGTTAATATTATTCTACTACGATATTATTAGCTATTATACTTTAATAATTCTCTAATAGGATTATATAGACCGGCTCGTAACTAGAAAGGCGTCGACGTAGTTCGGACGGTCTCGGATATTATCGATCCTATTAGTAAAGCTATTATAGATCTCGACGTACTTAGTAGTAGGCTTAGCTATTATCTCCCTCTACTCGCGGTTAAGGGAGAATCCTATTTTCTTAAGCTATTATACGGGTTAGCGCTACTCTTAAAGTATTAAATTCCTAGCTTATACTCTTATAAAGTTCTACTTAAAATATCCGTATTCGCTATTATTATCCGGATTCTTAGAGAAAGTTCTAGCCCTCTAGTATTTTATAGTATCGATATAACCTAGCTATAGGTATAGTAACTTAGGCTTCTTCGCCTTCTTAGGCTTTTATATAGGTAGTATAGAGAAGGGAGAAGGATATAGGTAAGTAGTAAAGGAGTAGTATAGTAGTAGGAGTAGTAAGTATTAATATTAGTATTTAGATATTAATAAGAGTCGCTAAAAGAGTAATAGGTCTTTATTCTACTACTCTTTTAGAGATCTTACTTACCTATATAAAGAGTTATATAGCTACCCGCATAATACTATTATATCTTTACTTTATCCTTACTATTATTACTTAGGTAATATTAATAAGAGTCGCTAAAAGAGTAATAGGTCTTTATTCTACTACTCTTTTAGAGATCTTACTTACCTATATAAAGAGTTATATAGCTACCCGCATAATACTATTATATCTTTACTTTATCCTTACTATTATTACTTAGGTATCGTAGACTTAAATAAAATTACTTTAAAGAAGGAAAGCGAGGA